GATAGATAGATAGATAGATAGATAGATAGATAGATAGATAGATAGATAGATAGACAGACAGATAGATAGATAGATGGATGGATAGATAGTCTCTCACTTATAATGTGAGTTCTTTGAGAGTAGGCTGGCTTTCTTTTCAAGTCTATCCCTAGAACTTAGCACAGTGCTTGGCACATGTAAGTGTTCAGTAAATACTTTGGCATTTCTTTGTCCAAAAAGATCTCAACAGGCTAGAACAATGGGTCAAATCCAATAAAATGAAATTCAGTGGGGATAAATGTCAATTTCAATACCTGAACTGAAAAAAAAATCAAGTCCACGTAGATAGAATGAAGAAGGCATAGCTAAAGAACAGTTTGTGTGGGGGGAAAAAAAACTAGGAGAGATTGATGGAATGTGATATTGAGGGAAGTAATCATCCTACTGGACCCTACTCTGGTGAGATCCCATTGGGAACATTGGGTTCAATTCAGGTCACTGCATTTTAGGAAGGATGACGATGATACTGAGATGCTATATAAGGATCAGTTGAAGGAACTGGGCATGTTTCGCCTAGAGAAGATTTAGGATAGACATGACTGACTTTAAAAGAACTACCTGTGGGGGGGGGCGCAGTGGAGGATAGGGATGAGAAGGAATAGACTTGTTCTACTGGACCCAAGAGAACAAACGTGGGAACCATTGGGTAGAAATTACACAAAGGAAAGTGTCCCAACCTAAGGGGGAAAAATTCTGATTAAATTGATCTAATAGTGGTATTTCTTGCTTTGAAAGGTAGTAAATTTCCCCCTATTTCAGGTCAGTAAGCAGGAACTGAATGTTCTTAGCTCCCTGAGGGCAAGGACTGTCTTTTACCTCTTTTAGTATCCCCAGGTCTTCACATAGTTCCTGGCACCTAGTAGGTACTTAATAAATGTTTGTTGATTGATCGGTAGAGTAAATTCATATTCAGGAACTGATTGGACTAGATAGTGTCTGAAGTCTCTTCCAACTCTGATATTCTGTGGCTCTAGCCTTCTATTCTAGACCTGAAAAGGTTAATGCTGGCAGGGAGCTCCTTTTAGATTTCTGGAGCTGAAGAGAATGGTAGAAATTTTATTAAGTTTAAAAGGAATTGATCTGGAGCCTGATAATTTTTACAGGCAGCTTAAGTGGACATCTTGTCTCCCTTTGATAGGATATTTCAATATCTGTCCTTTCTGGGGGCTACTTCAAGGTTTCAGATTGTATTGGTTTCAAATAAAGTATAATTCCTTAAGGACAGATTGTAATGGGTATAAACTGAAAGGCTTTTCCTTCATTTACCTATCCCCAAAAGGAGTGTCTGTCTATCTATAAATCTTTATGGTCGTTCCTGCTGCCTTGGCAAATCGTAGTGTTTTTTTCGGGGGAGGGACTGAAAAGAAGCTTAGAGATCAACTAACCAGCCCTGGTTTCTTTCAGAGCAAGAAATTAAGGACACTGGATATAAGTAACTTGCTCAAGAACACATTCCTAATGTCAGAGAATAAACTTGAACTCAGGTTTCCTGACTCACAGGCCAGTGCTCTTCCCACTATATCATAGTGCCATTCTGTAGCTCATTGGGCCTTGGCCTTCTGTCTCCATCAGTTCCAGGGAACTTAGGACATGCACCACCTCTAAAACGTTACATGAAACTCTCCTTTAGGAGTGGTTGACCTAACAGCTGGCCTCCATTCAGGAAATGAGACAAGCAATCTGTGTAAGGGAGAGGGGTTGGCCAAGGACCAATCCTATATTTAGAAGCTTGGAAGGTTATTCCCGGAGTGGAGGAAACCTCTGGAGTGGGTGCATATGCTTAGCGAGGAAGATCGATTTGGCATAAATGAATTGCTAATAACTCAAGCGTAACTGATGATAGGAGGCCAAAGCTCACAGCCAATGCCATTCAATTTATCAGGCTTTTTTGTATAATACTCTTGGTGGCTGTATTCAGTTTGCTCAATGTGTGCATTTCTAGGTAAGTAAAGTCCATTGCTTGCTATGCGTGCTCTGGTATGATGCAATATTAGCAGTCCCCTGGAGAACTCTCAATATTAATCAAATATACGGGAAGAAAGGTGGCCTGATGCTGGGAAAAGATGAGTGGAGCTATCAGCAGAGAACCTGGGTTCAAGCCCCAGTTTTGCTGCTCACCACACTATGGCTTTGGACTTGCCACTTGGTCTCTGCCCTCAGTTTCCTATCTGTCAAGTCAACGGGTTGAACTGTCTTCTCAAAGGTTCTTAACCTGGTGCCATTTTCTTTACCCAGTCATTTTACAGATGAGAAAACTGAGGCAAACAGGGCTAAGTGACTGGTCCAGGGTCACACAGCTAATACATGTCTGTGACTGAATTTGAACTCAGGAAGATGAATTTTCCTGACTCCAGGCCCAGTGCTCTACCTACTGCACCACCTCGCTACCGTCACGTACACTAGAAGCACTTCTTCTCTATTTAGAAACAAAAAAGAAAACCAGAAAATCCCGGGAACAAACAAACAAAAAAAACTAAAAGAAAAAGAAAGAACATCTCATTTGCAATCAGAAAACCTGGGTTAAATCCTCATTCAGTTACTTATTATCTTTTTAACATTCAGGCAGACATGAATCCATCTCTCTGGACTTTGGTTTTCAAATTCCCCAGCTGAGAAGATTGGACAATAGATGATCTCTAAGCCCTTCTAGCCCTAAATATTACAATGCTATACATTTGCCTGTACAAAAATAAGCTGCAAGAATGTAGGAACTTTCCCAAGTAGGTAGGATTAGGTTCCAGCAGAGGCCTAAGGGATGCATTGTGGGAAAAGATAATTAGGTCTAGCATCATCCACAAAGCTAATTATTGAGTGGTTCTTCTATCCTAGCTTCCCTTTCTACTCATGCTCTGTGTCTGTCATTCGTTCATTTGTCCAAAAGCTTCCTGAATTTACTTCTATTTTTGTACTGAATTTGAATAGAAAAAAATTACATATTTATTTTCATCAATCTTTAAATGAAGTTGACATTTCCTTCAATTATTTAAAAATATCATTCTGAGAAGAACACCACAGGCTTCACCAGACTGCCAGAGATCCAAGACACAAAAACTATTAAGAAGCTCTGTCTAAGAATGATGAATTTCCTAAGTTTATGATGCGTAGTGTTACTTCTCAGTGAGAAGTAACATGGTATGGCAGAAGGAACACTACTGAACTTGGCCTTAACATTTGGGTTCTAACCTTTGCTCCACCACTTAGTTAGCCAAGTCACTTTAACTTACTGAGCCTCATTTTATTCACTTTCTACTTCGGGGAATTGTCTCTACCGCAGAGACGACATCAGACATCAGTTTACTTTTCTGAGAAATAAGGTGGTTACTAGTTGAATACTGATTCCATCAATTAACATTTATTAAATGCCTGCAATAGTTTGCTGTTGTTGGTGTGTGTATATATATGTATGTCTATATAATATGTATATTTGTATATATGCATATATAGATTGTTGTATCTATATCTATAAAGTGATTTGTAAGACATGTAAATATAAGATATTATTAATTGCCTAAAATTCCTTTTCTTTATCCAGAGCATTTGGGGATGTTTTCTGCCTATAACCTCTTCTTAAATGAATGAAAGTCCATTTCTCTGCTGTCTCGCTCTACAAATCCAAACCAAATGACCTGCCGGCAAGTTTAAAGTTAACCATGTCTCTACTTGCCATTTTGTTCTTTGTATCCAAGAAAAAAGATCGCCTACATCTCCTACCCCTATCCTGGATATCAACTGATGCTGCAAATCTCTTGTCTTTTGTTTTGGAACAGGTGTTAATTCTTTCCAAGTCTACATGGCATATAAAGATCTCTACCAGATGTCTGACAGCCAGGTATTCATGTCTTATCCATACAGGCTCTGCAGAGCCATTGTGAAATTTTCAGTATGAGCATTTACACCTTGGAAATAGACAACACTATGGATTGGGGTTTGATTCATTATTTTGTCAATTGATTAGACTAAAGAAAGTGATGGAGAAAATATTAATAATTCAGAGTAAACTTAAAAGTGTGTCTTGAATTTTCAGATAACTAGTTGTTAAACATTTACCAGCACATCCCCAGATAAGTCACACGTTAGACTTCTGAATGTATTTTATTACACTGAAGCATTTGCCTGTAGTTTAATTGTTACTGGCCTACCCTTTCTGTCCCTTAATTAGGAGACAGAAAATAGGAAAGATCAACACTAATGCTCAGTGTCTTGTTTTTCTTCTTGTGACTGCAAAAAATAGTACTCACACACACGATTCAGGGTGACCATCTTCAACACCTGTAGACATTGTTCAGACAATCAGACATCAGTTTACTTTTCTGAGAAATAAGGTGGTTACTAGTTAAATACTGACTCCATCAATTAACAAATATTTATTAAATACATGCAATATGCCATGCCTTAAGTGAGGAACTGGAAAGAGTCAGTGGTTACAGTGAATGGTCCTTTGGGGGTGACCTCATAAGTGAAAGTGGGAGGGATACAGTGCAGAGCTTGAGACCGTGACAGGCCCTGGTTGAATTGCTTACTCAAAGGTCTACTTGGTTGGACTTTTCCCTTGTTCACAAATGTACGTGGACATCTCTGGTGCTCTCCTGGTTTGCAGGGCATGTCTGAACTGCCAGGGCTGGGATGCAGTAGACCCAAAGAAGTTCAAGGACATAATAATTACCATTCTTTCCTGACCAGTGTTTTATCTAAGGAGCTGGTTGCTTCTGGAAGTCATTCACTGAAACACTGAACTTGGAGCCAGGAAGACCTGGGTTTGAATCCCACCTGCATCACACTAGGCAAATCACTTAATTTCCCTCAGTTTCAGCTTCCTCATCTATAAAGTGGGGATAATAATGACACCTATCTTACAGGGCTTTTGTGAGGATCAAATGATATAATTATGTAAAGCCCTGTGTAAACCTTAAAGTGCTATGTACATATTAACTGTTTATTATAATGTATATGTCAGATTATTTAAAAATATTTTAGTAAACTCTATTTTAGAACTCCACTTTCTCAAAATCTATTCAATTTAGAACAAAGAAATCTGATGTGGAGAAACAGTACTATTAATATCATCCTTCCTGAACAAATTGAAGGAGAAAACCCACTTTTTGTTTCAAATAATTTATAAAAAATAATGATTGTATTATTTGGGGTTTAGGCTCATTCTTCTTTGTTCCCTCTCCAGCTCTATGAAGCATTCACATTCCTAAAAGGGCTTGGTGCAGTCATTTTAGTCCATGCTGAAAACGGAGATTTGATAGCTCAGGTAAGTAAATAATGGGCTTGCTTCTTCATCCCCAATGAAAAAATGAGGGTAAGTCAACCAAAAAGTACCTAATATGGGCCAGAAACTGGCGCTGGCATACAAAGATAAAATCCAGATGGTTCCTGCCCTTGTTTAGCTTTTATTCAGTGAGGGAGGAGAGAGGAGGGATACAACAGGTTCACAAATTAGTATAGACCAGGAATAAGATATGAGTTCTAATCCTGACTTAACCATATATTACCTGTATGACCTTAGCTGTGTTCCTTTCTTTGAGTATCTACTTCCCTGACTGTAAAATGGGGATTATGGCATTGCTTACCTTTGAATCCTGTTTGAGGATAAGTGACAGATAATGTGGTTTTAAGCTTTTTTTAAAAAAAAATTTCATTATGGTTATTGCTTTTCATTGTTTATAATTTCAAAGGAAATAATGCTACTCTTCGTCAATATAATCATTTTTAAACTCCTTTATTATAAATTAGAAACCTGAGACCCACAGAGATTCTTTTACCCATTTCCCCTTTCTAAAGTATAAAAAGCTTATTTAAATATCATGTAAGATATGTTTAAATTTCATACTTTTAAAAGTTTTTTTCTTCTAATTTGGTGTTGATTTTGACTTTTGGTAAGAAGTCAAGGTCCTGATTATACACAGATAGCAAATTTGGAAGTGATACCAATTTGTTTCCTGTCTATTCTAGTTAAATTCAGTTTTTGTGATGTCACTTGGTGAGTATGATCAAAATTCCCACTTCCTTAAAAAAAAGAATGAATGTTATATAGGCCTGAGACATCTGAGGAGTCTTCATGGTTTTGCCTCCTTTTGTGACTTAATACCAAATCATGTTTTTCAACATATTTTCCACCATTCTCCCTTTTTCATTGAATACTAATGTATGTGTTAATTAAATGTGGAGAGACTTGATCATCCCTTTATAGGCTTTCTTTGCCTCCTCATCCTCTGTAACAGATGTTAACATTTAAGATCCAATTATCTACATAGGGGTCTTTTTCTCAATACTCATTATGAACATTATCATGTGTATGCTCAACCCTTTCAGTTATATGGATCAAAAGAGTTCATTGCCTTACTGCTTACTACCAGTCTCTCTTTGGAACAAATTGCTAAAGTTCTGTGGGCCTTAGTTTCTTAATTTATAATAAAGGAGTTGACAAAATTGATTGCACTTCATCATGCATCTAAAAACAACAAGAAACATCCTACCATGGAACACTTAGACATCTTGCTTTCTCAAGACATGATGTATCTTGTTTCCTTTGGACAAATGATAAAAATATATGAATGTGTATGTGCATATGTATATGTGTACGCATTGAGGTATGTTTTTATGTAGATATGTATGTGTATATACGTCTGTGTACACACATATATACATATATGTACAAAAACCCCACAAACTTCAGCTCCTTAGATTCAGATTCCTCATTTTCTGGTTTCATTTATAAAAATAATATCAGCATCAATAGGATTACAGTTCTCCAATAGTATGTCAGACCTGTTAATTCAGCCCTCTGTGAAATAATCCATAATAACTTAAAAATAAAAGAATAATATAGCAGGATATTGACTTGTCCCAAGTTTATCTTCATCTGAACACCATTATGAAATATGAGAACAAAATAACAACCACAATAATAGCAGTAACAAAATAATAACAATGATAGTAATAGTAGCAGCAGTAGTAGTAGCAGCAGCAGTAGTAGTAGCAGCAGCAGTAGTAGTAGCAGCAGCAGCAGCAGCAGTAGTGGTTCAGTAGTAGTAGTAGTAGTAGTAGTAGCAGCAGCAGTAGCAACAGTAGCAGTAGCAGTAGCAGCAGCAGTAGTAGTATTAGTATTAGTAGTAGTAGTAGCAGTAGTAGTAGTAGTAGTAGTAAGTACCTGAAAGTAAGTTGCAGAAAAATTGAAAGAAAATGGGATGGAATTTATGCAATTTGGCCCCATCATAAGCTAAAATGAGTTTTTTTCTCATCTTCCAGGAACAAAAACGAATCTTAGAAATGGGAATTACAGGACCTGAAGGACATGCTCTGAGCAGACCTGAAGAGGTAATGAAACGTAGTTTATTCCCAGTTGAAAATTGAAATTTTGCTCTTTCCACTCCCACACACAGTAGACAGTCTCTCAGCCTTTTTTTTTCTCCATTGCCATTTAGTGGTAAGAGCTTGTTGGCAAAACTAGGAAGCTGGCACAGGTGATCTTCAGCTATACCTACTTTTTCATCATTCTCACCCCCACTCCTCCATACCTCTGCCAATATTGAAAAGCCTTATGCTGCCCACAGCTTCCCAGCCTACCTTTCCCCTAAAATGGATACCTTGCTGCTTGGCACAGTGTCTCAATGCTCTTAACAAGAGCAATCCTTAATTAAGTGCCTACTGTGTGCAGAGTACTCTGCTAGGCACTTAGGGAGATACAAAGTTTAGATATGATCTCTGCCGTCCTGGAGTTTAGAGTCTGCATTGAGGTATGATATAAAGCGATAGCTAAAATATGCACTAAAAATTCAAATGTAATAAGCATTTACCAAGTGCCTATTGTGTGCAGAACAACTGTGCCAGCGGCTGAGGGAGACACAAAATGTAGTTACCACCTCTGCCCTCATTGAGTCTTCAGTAAGATAACTCATAGACATATAACTAAAATATAATTGATAGATATATAGATAAATATGCATATATGTGTGATATATGTGTGTGTGTGTGCATACACAGACATTACATGCTAAGAAGTATGAAACAAAGTACCAGATGAAACCTGAGGGAGAAGGCCATTACCAACTGGAGGATAGGACCCCTGTTTGCTTTTCCCCATGAGACCTTACAATTCCTGTACCCCATTTCTTCAAAGTCTCATTCTCCTTGATGATGGCAGGCAGCTGGGGAAAGCTCATGTGGCTTGTCAGAAAGCAAGCCAGGCTAGGAGTCAGAGGATTTGTGTTCTAACTTTGCTCTGCCATGAAGCCTGTGTGACTTTGGGAAAGCCATGTCTCTTATTTGACCCTCAATTTACTTCTTTGGTCCTCAATCCCTCCCTCTCTTTGAGAACCATTTTCTTTTCTCTTTCTTTGCAGCTGGAAGCAGAAGCTGCTTTCCGAGCCATCACCATAGCCAGTCGAATCAATTGCCCCGTCTATATCACCAAGGTGATGAGCAAGAGTGCTGCAGACATAATTACCCTGGCAAGGAAGAAAGGTACTGATTTCACTTCCTCCTCCCCCATTCCCTGCCTAGATGCTGTTTGTGTGACTGGTCGGAGCCACTTATCACTAGGGAATGGATGGTGGCCATGATTGCCTAGCTTTCAAGGGAATCATCTCTTCATATTAAATCAACTGCTAATTGTTTCTGGTTATTAGGGGAAATAAGAGCATGGATAACAAAAATACACAACTAATAAAATGATCTCTCTTGTTATTTTGGGAGACAGTGGTTTCAAGATGTTCCCCCTTTGAAATCTTTCCTAAGAACTAATTGTCAATTTCCTAGGGGATTTGATAACTACTAACTATTTGTGGCAGAAAAAGGCCCAAGATTTAGGGCACAAATAAAAGAGTCCCCAGAGGTCCAGCTGTGGCCTTTTTCTATACTTCCAATTGCTGTATTTCTTGGCCTTCATTGGTAGCTAGTACAAAAGGTGACTGTGTGTTATTGAATAAGAACTCCTTTCTGAGTTTTGTCTTGTGGTTGGTTCAACTCTCTGTGTGTGTGTGTGTGTGTGTATGTATGTGTGTGTATGCATGCATGTGCTCAAAATGGGTTACCTTCTGAGTTGAAGCTTCAGGCTCTAGTCCAAGGGATATAGAATTCTTCTTTATACTTGGGAAGAGGAGATGCTTGTTGGGCACCACGGTGGTTTGTGATTTATCAGTCTTTGGTAAAAACCAGTTCATGAGTTAGGAGGAGAGGAGCCAAGCTAGTCAGGTTATTAAAGATGGTGGTCACAGATGGGAAGTAGCCCTAGAGCATCTAGCTAGACTTATGTTTGGAAGTGTGGTACCAAAGCTTCCATATTCCTGACACTGAAAGTTCTTAGGAATAGACAATATCTTCATACATGACCACACACAGAAGAGTCAACTAGTTCAAGTTTCACAGTCACCTAGTTATTGGTGAAAATGCCAATGAGAGGTGACATGGCTGGTTTCTAAGGAGCTAGAAGGAAAGAGATAAAGCCACTGGAATAACTAAGTTTACTTTTCCGTTCATGCCCTTGAACTTGACCAAGTGGTTACCATCAAAATCCTTCAAATAAGACTGAAAAATTTTGGTATGGGAATCTGTGAAAAAGATTATCAGGGCCAGTTTTTGCATCTGTAAAATGGGGCTAATAATGCCTATATTTTGTAGATTGTGAAGTTATATAAAGCTATATTACTACTATTTTCTTACCACCATCTGGGGTAACAGATGGATGGCTATGAAAACATAAATTTTTGGAAGTATTTACAAAGTATGCTTTGGTCTAGAATCTCTTGAGGGTGCTATGGAAAGCTTCTGTTCCCCTTCCTATGATGTAAGATTTCAGAGTGTAAGAGATTTTGTTGATCATGTAGTCCAGTCTCTTTTTATTGATGAGGAAACTGAGGGGCTTGCCCAAGACCACAGAGTGAGTTGTTGTTCAGTAGTATCTGACTCTTTGTGACCCTGTGGATCATATTGTCTGTGGGGTTTTCTTGAGAAGGATACTGGAATAGTTTGCCATTTCCTTTTCCAGTGGACTAAAGTAAACCGAGGTTAAGTGACTAGCCTGGAAGTATCTGAGGTCAGATTTGAACTCAAAGAGATGAGTCTTTCTGATTCCAGACACAGAATCCCAACCACTGTGCCAGGCATTGTGCTAAGTGCTTTACAACTATTATCTCATTTGATCCTTACAACAATCTTGGGAGGCAGGTGCTATTAATATCCCTATTTTACAGATGAGGAAACTGGGACAAATAGAGGTTAAGTGACTTGCCCAGGGTCTTGAAGCTAATAAATACCTGAGGTTGAATTTGAACTCAGGTCTTCCTAACTCCAGACCTAATGCTCTATCCACTGTGCCACCAGAACCCAGTTCTTCTGACTCCAAGTCCAGGGTTCTTTGAACCATGCCATTCTGTCTATATTTTTGTACCAAAATAGATGTCTACAGTCTCTGGGACTTCCAATGATAATAATTGTCTGACCAGTCACTTTTCACTCTTTTAGGTCACTTGGGTTGTTATTGGCACATACATTCTACAGAAGTAAGTCACAGGAGATGGCTAGGAGGATGTAAAAAATTAATATGAATACATATTATATTCATATATATGTCTATGAATGTGTGTGTGTGTGTGTGTGTGTGTGTGTGTGTGTGTGTGTATTTAACCTATCACATTCTCTCTCACTCAAGGTCCTTTAGTTTTTGGAGAACCAATTGCTGCAAGTCTAGGGACAGATGGGACCCACTATTGGAGCAAAAACTGGGCCAAGGCAGCAGCTTTTGTGACATCCCCACCGCTGAGCCCAGATCCCACAACTCCTGATTACCTGAACTCTCTCTTAGCCTGGTAAGCATCGCTGAGGAGAAAGTGCTATGCCAAACTGGACTGGGGGCTTGATGGGTGGAGAGGTTAAGATAACAGATATTTTTAGATTTCCCTCACCCTCCTTTTTTATCCATCTCTTTCACCCTTTTCTTCCTTCCTTCCTTCCTTCCTTTCTTCCTTCCTTTCTTCCTTCTTTCCTTCCTTCCTTCCTTCTTTCCTTCCTTCCTTCTTTCCTTCCTTCCTCCTTTCCTTCCTTCCTTCCTTTTTTCCTTTTTTCCTTTTGTCCTTCTTCTCTCCTGTCCTTCTTTCCTTTCTTCCTCTTCCCTTCCTTCTCTTCTTCTTTTCCTTTCATTTTGGGTCCCTCTCCTTGAATATTTTTATGATTTTCTCCTCCTAATATAGGATCATTTTGAAATGAAGTGTATATATATGTCTATGCATAGCACAGATTCTGGACCTATGATTTCATTGGGAATTCCTTCATAAGAAAACTCCTGCTAGAACAAGAGGCAGAAAGCTGTGAGAGTCTACAAGAGGGTGTACATACTCCAGCTTGCCTGGGGATCAGGGCAAGGCACAGGCCAGTGAAGTCCTAGGGGCTAGGCTGGTTAAGAGGAGTGAGGAATGTTAGGGGATTCCTTCCCTCCAATCATCAACCATGTTAATTCTTGCTCAAACCTCACTCCACTGTGGGTAAAATATGTTTCTCAGGAGTGGGAAGTCTCAGGTGGGTGGATGACTAGTGTTATGTGTTTAGGAAGAACGGTGCCATTATCGATGCTAAGCCCCTGTTTCTGCCTAGTGGTCAAGGCAGGAGTCAAGAAAGTGATTATTAAAAGTGATTATTAAAATAGTAATTATTAAGCCTTCATAGGACACCAGTAGTAACTAATCAGTAGACAAATTGGTTGCTGATTGTGTGTAATGCCACCTGGTGGTCTCTGTGCGGAAGGACATTGGGACACAGAACCCATTCATTCTGAAACAACTCATGCAGCCAAAAGGAGAAGCCCAGATGAAGGGAATCCACATAAAATCCTCAAATCTTGTTTTATGCAATGATTTGAATCCCCTTTGCCTTCAGAATTAAAGCTTTGAGGTGGAGTAGAGAAAGTAAGGGATTTGGAGTCAGAAAATCTGGCTTCAAATCCCAGCTTTGATATTTGCAGCCCATGTGACTTTGGGCTGGACACCTCCCCTCCTTTTTCCTCATGTTCTACTCGTCTAATGAAGGGAAGTGGACTACACCTTTCTACCTCGAAGTCCTATGAGCTTGTTACCTCCAGCTGACAAACTGCATTGAGCAAGCTGAATTCCCCTCCTTTCTTTATCCATGTCCCCACCCCGCTTCCCCCTGGACATGCTCAGAAACAGATAGACACAGACAGGAAACAACAAAGCAGTAAGCCAGGCTAATGTGGAAATGCAGTATTGTCAGTTTGCATAAGCAAGACAACTGAAGAAAGACAATGGAAAACCAAGTATAGTTGGTTTAAAAACTTATGCAGTGTTTGACCTATGCAATATTTATATAGTGCCTTTATAAACCTGCATTGGGCTAGATGAAAACTCATTTGCCTTGTTCTTTAGCAAGGACAAACCATGTTCCTTCCACACACAACAAACATTATTTTGATATGTAAACAATTCCTAAGCAAGATAAATATCAGCAACATAAATAACTGCTTTATTCTTTTACACTGAGTGAAGAAGTATTAGCACCTTAAAAAAACACTTCTACGTTGAATATACACATATATCCAGTATATTTATTGAATTTATGTGTTTATTAAATATGTATATAGAATATAAATTCAATGTAGATTATATAGGTATACTTATACATATAAGCATATACATGTATATATGCATGTTTATACATGAATACATATATACACACTTATAAATATACACACACATACATACCCAAAAATTTGTTCAATTTGTTAGTCACTCCATTCCCAATTCTCCAACACTTCCCCTCAACATTTAAGTTATTATAGCATAGTGGATTTAAATATGGAAGTGGCAGTTTTTCAGATAAGGAACTGAAGCCCAGATTGGTGGAGTGCCTTGCTTGTTGAGGATCACAAAGCCAGTAAGTCTCTGAAGTTGGGTATAAATGGAGATCTTCCTCACTTCTGGTCCAGTGCTCTATCCAGTCTACCGCCAAGGATGGCAGCATCTGTTACCTTTCCAAAGAGCAAAGAAATTGCAAAGCAGTCATGTTCTGACTTAAAATGTAAAATTGTGCCCTTTTCTCATTCTCAGTGGGGACCTTCAGGTGACAGGAAGTGGCCATTGTCCATACAGCACTGCCCAGAAGGCTGTTGGCAAGGACAATTTCACCCTTATTCCTGAAGGAGTGAATGGGATTGAGGAGAGAATGACCGTTGTGTGGGACAAGGCTGTTGTAAGTAATCACCAGGTTTCTTATTGATGAGCACCAGATAGATCATTGTATTTGGCCAAGATTAAGATGTTACGCGGTGTTTATTTGGGGCTGCTTCTCTTCAAGAGTTTCAGTAACATAGTTTCACCTGGAGTGGATAACTTGAAATCCTTACCCCTGTTGTAGTTACTTAGAAATCTGCTGTAGGTGTAAAAGAGCTGGAGCTGATTGGTTTTAAAAAACCAATACTACCTAATGCCATTAATTGGCTCTGCAAAAATGTGTTGTTAGGTGAAACAACCTTATAGGGGTAATCAGTTACATAAGAATAAGTAGATTGACTCTAAGACGATATTTCTGGACTGTTGCTAACTTGGCCTATTGTTGGTTTTCTGATGTATATTTCACATGACAGGGTGAACAATGTTAGTTGTGAGAACTCACTGGCTTTTGGTGGTGTTATGCTGGGATTTGGCCCTATGCTGTGATTTGATGACAGTACAGTAGGAGCTTGGTTATACTACATTGAACTTTGTGATATTGTGGTAGGGTTTGCTTTTAACGTATTAATGGAATTCTTGTAAAATGGGTTTACATGAACCAAAGCAAACAATGGTTTGGCTAGAGCAGTGGTAAGTATCTTTTTGCTAACACGTCCACATAGTAAGATATGACATTGGTATAGATCACAGGATTTTGTCATTCTTTGGGTTTTGTTTTGGACCTCTAGATACCTAACGTAATAGAGGTGGTGACTGAACTTGTGATTTCATTGGTATAGGGAACTCCCAGGTGAGGAAACTCTCCTACAAATACAGGACCACCCTTCTTTGCTACTTATAGTCTGAGAAAGTTGCCTAGAGCCCTGGGAAGTTAACTGACTTGCCCAGGGTGACAACCCCTATGTGGCAGAGATGTGACAGTATGGAACTTGAACCCAGGTTTCCCAGACTCCAGCTGTCTTCATTTACATAATGCTTCTCACCTACTATGCTACACATTAATACAATAATAACATTCATTTAATACTTGATAGTTTTTAAAGTATTTTTCAGAATTTCATTTAATCTTTGGAATAGCTGTCTAGTGTAGGTAGAACAGGTGGCATCATTATCATTGTACAGATATTATCTATGAGAGGTCAGACAAAAACCTAAATCTACAAGCTTCTATTTGAATGATCTTTCCATTGTGGCCCATTAATTACCAGGTATTTTTATTTACTTTCATATTCCTAAGCTGCTGTTCTTTCCAGAGCAGTGAGAGGCAGTCTAGATAGAAAGCTAATCCTGAAGTCAGGGAAACATAGGTCCAATTCTAACTTCTATCACATACCGGTTGGTTTTCTCTTGGCAAGTTACTTAATTCAGGAGCTTTCTAAGACAACAAGACAATGTTAATTTGCAGTAGGGGAATAAGTTCTTCATTGAGTCTTTCTTATTATATGGATGAAATCATAAGTATGGTTAAAAAGAATTTACAAAGGGGTTATGATCCCAATCTCTGATTTCCTCATAAGAAACCTTTCCTAGATGTTGAATCTTCTTCCACTGATGTAAATCAGCAACTTGTCTATGATTTAGAGCCTGGACCAACATTTCTCTGAAACATTTGTTAGGAACTCCCAGCGGTCAAGACTCCTGAGGCACATTGTGACATTTAACACATAATGGAATGGGCCAATCCTATCTCAGCAGAGATCGGGGCAGAGTCTCAGCAAACAGTGTACAATAAATGCAGCTGAAGCTATCTCTGTAAGACTTTCTCATCACAGATCCAGACCCATCCTTACTGCTCCAGGCCATGTAAGGGTACTACCAAGTGTTTGCACAAGACAAAAGATCTTGGGAAACACCACAGAGATACAAAGTCCTCCACTCCTTACCTCCTTGTTGTTTGTATATGAGGGAAAGTTGTAGTCAGAAACCCATACCGTGCAGTCCCGTTCTTCCCATGCCTTGAGTCTTATTCTTTCTCTTAAAGGAGTTCAAACCTCCAAAAGACAAAAAAAAAAAAGAAGAAATTACTCTACTCGCAAAAAAAAAAAAAACTCAACAAACTAATGACACTGGTAACAGCCTTCCTCCTCAGTAAATTCCATTACTCATTGAATTCACCTGTCTACTTGCACTGCCTAATGGTGTCTTATTGTTCAAGTGCTGACTTAGCTCACACTACTTAAAGATGCCTTCTAGCAGGGTTGTGGTGTTGCTCTCTTTTGTAACAACAATGCTAACTAACACATTGCTTTTGAATAATTAATTAAATGGTTGGAGAAACAACACAGCAGCTCCAATGAAGGCAGTGATGGAGGAGAGAGTTTTGAGCTTATATATTTATGTATCTTAACTCATTTCATCCCCAGAATAATCCTAGGTGGTGGGAAGTACAGGTATTATTGTCTGCATCTTATAATCAATCAATAAACATTTAATAAGTGCCTACAGTGTGCCAAGCACTGTGCTAAGTACTGAGGATTCAAAGAGGCAAAAGATAGTCCCTGCCTTCAAGAAGCTTTCAATCTTACAGATAAAAACACTGAAGCTCAGAGAAAGGAAAATATTTACCTTAAGTCACATAGCTAGTAATTATCAGAGACAGTGGTACAAGGATTGTTAACCTCATTTTACCCAGGAGAAAACTGCAGGTCAGAGACAGGGCAATGCCTTGCCTCAGGACATACAGCTAGAAAATGGCACAGCTGAGACTCAAACACACATCTTTTGATTCCAGATCTAGAGTTCAAAATCCTCTAGGTTACGAGTTCAGCTCAAACACTTGTTTTGACTTAAGTGTCATTGTTCCGTGCATTACTCCATGTGATCAACGTCCATTTTGGGGAAGAAAAAAATCATTAAAAACAAATTTTCTTTAGGCTACAGGCAAAATGGATGAGAACCAGTTTGTGGCAGTCACCAGCACCAATGCAGCCAAAATATTTAACCTGTATCCAAGGAAGGGAAGAATTGCTGTGGGCTCTGATGCTGATGTGGTTATCTGGGATCCTGACAAAATGAAGACTATTACTGCTAAGAATCACAGATCGGTGAGTGTGATCCTTCTGGTTCAGAGCAGGTGGATATTAGTATAATGAAAACAAAAATTCCTTACTAAAAGTAATTTGCAAAATGTTAAGGTCAGATGGCCAGTACATTGGTGAAAGCAAGAAAGAACAACATTTCTCCCTATGTTTATAACAATAGCTCACATTTCATTAGCAGTTTAAGGTTTATAACGATTCTTCTTCACACTAAACCAATGGGGTAGGTAGAGTAAGGGTTACAGTCTCCATTTTATAAATGAAGGCACTAAAACCCACAGATATTAAGACCCAAGATTATCTGGCTACTAGGTGTCAAAACCAGGATAAGAATCCCTTCCTTCTGACTTCAAACCCACTGCTTTGTTGACACACTGCCTATTCCTAAGACTGGTAGAACCAAAGCATTCCTACATTAGACATACTTGATTGTCTCTTATTTTGAAGGTTCAGGTGAATGTGGGTCTCAGTTACAGAAAACTAGAAAAGAGTTGTAATCTGGGGGCCTGATTGAAGTCTTTTGACACCTTTGCACACTAGCAGTCCTGAATTTACTGACCTTTTGGGGAGGGGTTGGGGGGTGGGGTAGGGATATACTCCGTGTTTTCTTAGGTCAATAAGCAAAAGAATAATCTTCACTTTTCTCTATGTTTTGTGTTAATTTGATGCTAATCCTTACTATTAAAAACATGTTCTCTTTGTTGTTGTTCAGGACTTTATATTCAAAAGATCTGTGATTTCATTAGCGTGACTGCCCCTTCAGCTAATGGAGCCCACGGCCTTTCCATGCCTTGGCTTAGTGAGTTGTTGTGGCCAACTTTTATATATGGGGTTATAAAAGAATTTGGCTGATGACAGAAATGTTGCTGTTTCTTGATCAAACCAAATCATTAACAGATTAGTGTTTATTTACAGGAAGAAAAACCCCAAAACAAATACTTGAGAACTGGGCTTGGTCAACTCATTTTCCTGTGTTCTTCTTTCCTTACTAGCATTGTTTTGCATCAATACATCAATGATGTTTTCTGTTAGCATAAAAAAATGAAGCTTTGCTAATGCAAATGTTTGAAATGCCACTTAAAATAGTAGAAGTAGGAAACCTTCTTCTGGTAGGTACCTCCTTGTGGTATGGAGGTGATTCTAGGTTCTTGGGGTTCATGCCATAAGCTCTGGAAGGTTCTACCAGCCAGAAACGGCCTCATGTATGGGTCTAATGATGGACCAAAATTATGCTCGACACCTACAGAGAGGCTCACCAGAGGGTTGGGCACCAGGTGATGATTTTCTTGGCCACAGCAACTCATGAAGCCTTGTGTCCTAAGATGTAGATGGGTTGAGTTCTAGTTTAGTTTGAAGCCAGTACTCCTATATTAAAGGGATGGTGAATATTTTGAAGTCCAGAGGCCTATCATTCAGTGTTATTCAAGGACTGCTTCCTAGAGGAGAAGAATTTTTGAATGATAGTTTAAAAAATGGTAGGTTGTGAAGAGGGCCAGTTATATGGAAGAAAATCTTATAGGTAAGGGAGAGGCAAGGGATAATGTTGAAAACCATCAAGCCCAGGCCGAGTTTCTTGGATCTTGTCTGGGAGGCTGTTAAAAATCTATTACTCATCTTTTTTTAATGTTTAGGCTGTTGAGTACAACATCTTTGAAGGAATGGAATGCCATGGATCCCCACTGGTGGTCATTAGCCAAGGGAAGATCGTATTTGAAGATGGAAATCTACACATCAATAAGGGTATGGGACGCTTCATACCTCGCAAGCCTTTCCCGGAATACCTCTACCAGCGTGTCAAAATAAGGAATAAGGTCAGTTTATAAGGAGTCTTTGAGGTAAGAGTTTGGGGTCTGTTCAACATGGATTGAGTGGGTCCCAGAATTCCCCTGGAGTGGAGGCAAAAGGATTAGTTGTGGATATTTCAGGAGAGATTTGGGTTGGTGAGAAGATGTTATACTTGATTCCTTCCAGCTTTCTGTACACAATCATTCAATCACTTCTCCTTACAAGACCTTGGCAAAATGAAAAAAAAAAAAAGCAGCGTCTGCCCTCAAGGAACTTAAAATCTACTAGAGATTCTATGACATGAGAATAAGAAGTATGCCAAGTACAGTGTGAACGGAATAAAGGAGAACTACAAAGAAAAGGCTTTAGGAAATATTGAAGAAGGAGATCATAGAATCATAGGTCTAGAACTACAAGGGACCTTGGATGGCATTAAGTCAGTTACTTCATTGGGCCGATGAAGAAATTGAAGCCCAGGGAAGTCATGGGGTCCTAGTTATAGCAATAGAAGAGAGCTTAGAAGTTATCTAGTCCACAGACTTCATTATGTAGATGATGAGAATGAGGCCAAGGGAAGCAAAGTGAATAACCCAAGGTTACACAAGTAGTAAATATCAGGATTGGAATATGAACCTAGGTCTTTTGTTTCCAGAATCTGATTTTTCCACTGTATCAGACTCAGGTTGCATCACATCAGCCAAGGTGTGTGTGTGTGTGTGTGTGTGCGTGTGTGTGTGTGTGTGTGTGTGTGTGTGTGTGTGAGAGAGAGAGAGAGAGATGGGTGAGGCAGAGGAATGGGGGATAATGGGGAAGAAATGGAAGGATGTGGAACCTGAGCTAGCCCTTGAAGGAAGAGAAGGATTTCCACTGGTACATTTTAGAAGCATGGGGATTTGTATTTTATTTAAAGAGCCTAGATATCTAAGGAAAGCCTACTTCTGTTAGTATAGTATCTGTTAGAATATGTATATATATATTTCATTTATATGGGAGAGTTTCTACTCTTATTTCAATCCCTCCTCAATTTCTACAAACTCTAAATTAATTTCATGTGGTAGAATATGAGAGTTCTGGAGCTGGACAGGACCTCAGGGGTCACCAAGACCAATGTGAAACTTAGCAGAGGTCACCTACAGCAGCCATAAGCAGTGGCCATTGAGTCACCATCTGATGACTGATGGAGCCAGTGCCCTGGCAGACATTCCACTTTTGGATAGCTTTAATTATTAAATATTTTGTTTTTACCTTGAACCAAAAATATCTGTTTTTTTACCCACTCATCCAGGGCTTAACACAATGCCTGATACATGGTAGGTACTTAATACACGTTTGTTGATTGATTTGTCCTCATTCTACTTTGTGGTGCCAGTTGAAACAACTTGAATCCCTTTTCTACATCTAAGTCCCTGAGATACTTGAAGACAGCAATCATTCCTTTTCCTCCCACTCCCACCCATGGCACTTTTCTGGCTTTACACACTCAATTCCTTCACTGGATCGTCATTTGATACGGCTTTCAGACCTCACTATTTTGACTCTTTCTTTGTAGCCATTTTTGCTTAATCTTCCCCCTGATCTTGGCCAACTGGTTCCCAACATTTTTTGTAATAGTGTATTCATTTATTTATTCATTCAAAAATATTTATTGGCCATCTACTATGTAAAAATTTCTGTGTTGGGTGCTGGGATCAAATATTAAAAATCTTCAGGGTTTTGGTTCCCAAGGAGCATATACATCATATGTCATGATATTATTGTTATAATACTGTATATTATATCATATTATGTATAATATAATAATATATAATGAATTTGAAGCATGATCAAATATGATAGAAGCAAAGGGAGAATCCAGACAAAGTATTGTAGGAATTACTTTCAAGTGGGGGGAATCAGAGAGGATTTCACGTAGGAAATGAAATCTAAGGTGGACCTTGAAGGTAGAAAAGAATTTCAAGGAGCAGCTAGGTGGCGGAGTGGATAGAGAACCGGCCCTGAAGTCAGGAGGACCTGAATTCAAATCCGGCCTCAGACCAAGCACTTGACACTTATTAGCTGTGTGACCCTGGGCAAGTCACTTAACCCCAATTGCCCCCCCCCCAAAAAAAGAATTTCAACATGCAGAGATGGGGAAGGAATGTTCTTGGCATTGGGGATGGCCTATTTGAAATGAGGATGCCACTAGAGAGCAGGGCAACATCAGGTGCTAATGTTCCAATTAGGCTGGAGCGTAGGGCTATTAAGTGGAGTAACTTGAAATAAGGCTGAAAAATTACAACTCAAGCTAAATTGTGTAGGGCGTTGAATGGTGAGCTAAGGAATTGTATCTTAGATAGATTATATCATATTATGTTATATTGAATATTATTTTGTTTATTTTATTATACTATATTACATATATATTCATATCTATATCTCTGTGTTTTTATCTATCATTATATATTAGAGGTTCAAGGGACCTTAGAGGTCATCTAGTCCAATCCAGTCATTTTAGAGATGAGGAAACTGTGGCCCAAGAAGTATACATGACTTGAGTAAGCTCATACAGGTAGTAGTAGGAAAGATGGTATTTGAACTCAAGTTCTTTGACTAGTAACGAGGGACCACTGAAGACTTTCGAGCAGGGACATGGAATTGTCAGAGCAGTAATAGGGTGATTGCATTGATAGCTGTGTAAAGGAGAGAGAGAAAGCCCACAGACAGGAAGACTATTTAGGAAGCCGTTATTATAATCTAGTTGAGAAGCGATGAAGATCTAAGCCTTGGTGGTATCAATGGCAGTGGAGAGGAAGGGGAAGGTGTGAGGAATATTTAAAAGATTTAACTGACGGATTCCATAATTTATTGAATGTGAAAGGTGAAGGAAAGGGAAGATAAAAGTCCAGTTGTGAGAAATTTATTTAGACACTAAATCATCTTTCTTTTACATGATTCAGGTCGGTGCATTGCAAGGAGTATCAAGAGGAATGTATGATGGGCCGGTCTATGATGTTCCAGCTACACCAAAATATGCAACTCCTGCTCCTTCTGCCAAATCCTCTCCTTCCAAACACCAGCCTCCACCAATCAGAAACCTCCACCAGTCCAATTTCAGCTTATCAGGTAAAGGATGAGACAATAGTACCACCTTAGGAACCTTCAATAGGGAAAGCTGGCCAACTGTCATTAGGGTAACGTTGTTCTCATTTAGGAGAGCAAGATAGAGGTTATGGAGCAGGGAGGGAATTTATCTATAAGTGGGAAAGAATGGAAAGTGATTCAGATCACATCACCATAGATACACAGATAAAGATAGATAGATTTTTTTTGAGAAGCAATCTGGGTTAAGTGACTTGTCAAGGGTCACACAGTAAATGTCTGAGGCCAGATTTGAATTCAGGTCCTCCTGACTCCAGGACTAGTACTCTATCCACTGCACCACCTAGCTGCCTCCACCAAAGATATTACACAGGCTTTTTGAGGAGTTATAAGATGCTTGTGGTTCAGGAATCCCACACTTCTTTTAGTGATTGTTGTTAGTATGCCCTCCACTAACATATCCCTTGGTAGACAGGCCTCAGGATTTGCTCTAATCAAAAATTAGAGGCCAGCCTTCTGCTGCTGAGACTACACACTAAGTTGTACTGGTCTCCAGAAAAAAGTCCCACTGGCCTTATACTCAATGGCTTTACATCTTGATTTGCTATGGTTTGCAGGCCACTGATGAACTGCCAGAAGCTCACAGGACACCTCCTGGTGTTTATGAAGCATTAGAGAACTTTCATGGAGAAAGATACAGCTTTGGTGGTTATATTCTAAGAGCCTATTGGCCTTTGAAGTGCCTGTTTTGCTGGAAACCCAGATTAATCCTCTTGTTTAAAATACAGATTTTAGGCAATTCATCAAAACCTCTGGAAGAGATGGTGAAACAAAACTGGTAAGAAATAGTCTGAGTAGAGTTCAAAGTGAAATGATTGTGATTAATCTACAGTTCTCCTTTATCATAGAACTCTATGTGCCAGAGATGGGACTTAAAACCTAGTTTTCCTGGCTCCAAGGTCAGCTCTCCACATATAGTACTATATTATTCTGCCTCTTACAAAACATTTCCCCTACAATAGTGCTATAACATGGGGAGTATACACACTATTTCTCTTATTTTATAAGTGAGGAAACTGAGGCTCTGAGATGTTAAGGGACTTTCCCCTAGTCATGAACCTAGCAAGCATTGGAGGTCAGATTTGAACTCAGGCCTCCTAACTCTGGTTCCAGATTTCTTTCTGCTATAGCCCACTTACTTAAACATGTTATGCTACTGAGCTTTTATCTTCTCTTCCATTTCATAACTGGAGCTTTCTCTATCTTTCTTCTTGCTCAAGAAAAACTTCCTGAGATGAACAAAGGTTATTATCATTTCAGGACATGCCCTGCCCTTACATCAAACCCACTTTAATTCTTTCTCCATCTTTGGGATGCCAGAACCAGACTGACTCAATTTTTCTCTTCCAGGGGCCCAGATAGATGACAACAACCCTCGCCGCACTGGCCATCGCATTGTGGCACCTCCTGGGGGCCGCTCCAACATCACCAGCCTTGGCTGAACCCTGAAGATGAATGGGTGGCCTAGAATGAAGGATTGCAGGAATCGCATCCATCCCCTTTTATGTCAGTGTTATTGCAATCCACGGTTTTGTTTGGTACTAATGGGAAAAAAGAATGGTGTTTTTGGGATTGGTTCCCTCGTCCCCTTTTCTTTTGGTATAGGAAGAAGTGATAATAGTGTGGTGTATTTGCTTGGAACTACTTGCCTCCTCAACATTGTGTTTCCATCCCATAGTCACCTCAAAGCATGGTGCACCTGCTGCTCCTTTAGTGAGTCCAGGTTTTAGCTTTGTCCTTGTACCTGAATGATGATGGTTCCTCTGCACCCTGTAGTTCTACTAGGATAGTGAATGCATGTTACTGAATTATTTATGCCAGTCTGTGAGTGAGTCCCATAGAACACATTGCCAATGACTGACCTAGACACAACACCATGACTAAATGCCCTCACTTGACACATTGAAAACTCTTCAAAGGAAGAATACCCCTCTTCCCCAAACAGACACACACACACACACACACACACACACACACACACACACACACA